CGTTTCATTCAAACCATATAGCTACCTGTGATATAACTATATCGGTGTGATTTTTGATCTGAAAAAAAAAAACGAAAACAAAATGACTCCAGGTTACAGTTAAAGTAAGAAAAAACTGATAAATAGAGCGTCTATAATTTGAGTGTTACTCGGCGAGAACACCTTAATTCATTTAATTGATTATATGATGAATTTCAAAACATGGCTCTATGTATAATACATGCTCATGCGAACTTCAAAGCTTTTGTTTTCCTATAGCCACCTTTTGCTGCCTGCTTAATATCGGTTTTCAAAACTGACTGTAAGTTTCTCCTTTTGAACTCAATGTACGCACTCGTGGCAGTCATTAAGTTAATTTTTGTTGAATATTTGTGCACGTTGCGTTCTGGATAACCGAGTTCTGTTATCGCTAAGTAGCAGAATTACACTTTAAGCCCGGTCCGTTTTGTCCGCAAATTCTGCTATTTCTGGGATTTAAATCTGTCTGATAAAACAAAAAAGAGCGGAAAAACCAATATAACGAGACTTCGCACTACAACGGTGGCTTTCAGTCAGTAATCGAAATATTTTAGTAGCTTGTTGAACCCATGTTTTCGTTTTATGAATAATTACTGTTAATACCACAATACCTCACCAACTTTCTTGACTTAGCAAAGAAAATTGGCTTCATTAACCGTCCTAGTGATAAGTGTGTAATTGTAAATTTCTTTATAATTATTGAAATATACGAAGGAATCATCTTGCAGGTTCGTGATTTGTTTTTGCCAGGAATCAGGATTTATCGCCGGATCGGAGGGGACTGTTTATTTTATTACAGGGAAGATACGAAACAAGTGGGCTAAAAAAAATATTAAACATAAATAAACCGGGTAAGACATAGAAACTTTGTATTTAAAAGCGTGTGGTTTTGAAGTTGGCATCAAACGTCAATGATGCAAAGTACACTGGCGTTCGTGTTTACGGAAACGCAGGTAAACATACTCTCATTCAAACAATGAACAAAAGGGTTGAATTTCGTGCTGTAAGAAAATGCACTCATTAGTTTTTAGGTACTTTTACTGGTGTGTACTTCAGTTGTAGCTCAGAAATATTGCTTGTTCAACCCGTCTTGGAAATTCGCAAGTTAATTATAAGGAATCTTCCGACTGAAACAAGACAGATTTTTGATTACTTTCCTGGACTTTATTTCTCAGCTGATACAAACTGTTGAAGACAGCAGACGAAGACAGCAGAGCAGTTTATCTACCCTTACTATACAACAGATTTCTTCTAGAAAGTCCAGTTGATCATGTGTAACGTGTTACTGCTGAGCTTTTGACACCTCTTCAATGAAGATCCGGGACATTGTCGCCCAGCCTGTGTAAGCGTCAGTATTCTTGTGGCCAGTGTTGCAACTTCCAACCCAGAATCCCACTCGCACCTTTCCCTTGTGGATGTTATTACAGTGACCTTCAATATGGCGGTGACGATGAAGATTGTGGTTCTTGCCGGTTGCCATGTAGAAGGCACCGTCAATGGAGCCAGGAGAGCTGCACTCGGCGCCATTGAAGGTAAAATACCAACGACTACAGCAGTTGTCACATCCTTGAATCCTGAGGTTACCAGCAAAGAAAACATGGAGGGCAGTGTCTGTGAAGTTCTTCATAAAGTCACAGTTCTACAGAAATAATCATTATTATCAATCAAAATAACCTGAATTCAGGCAGTACTTGTAATTTTGTTTGCCAGGAACAAGTGAGAGTTTGGGAATGAAAATAATAAGCAACGTCAATTTGAAATAAGATGTTTAAAATTGCATAATAACTATGCTAGAATATATGAGCCGGGAATACTGAAAAAAACTTAAATGAAAGAAACGAATTATCCAGTATTAACATGGAAACGATTACCGGGCCTGCACATTGTGAACGTATCCCATTTTAGTCAGGGTGATTAATCTTACGAGAACTCTTCGTAACTATTTCATAACCTCAAGAGCAATAAGTCGGCTGAGAATTAATCTTGCCGATGATTAAGAACAGCACTCGACATTCTCGGTGAAATAAATGCTAACTCATAGCTCATGTTTAGATCTTTACCCTTAGCAACAGAGATGAAGGCTGAGAAATCTAACAAAAATGCCAAATCAAAGAGCCCGGCAATAACATGTTATCCTATAGAAATAATGTCCTCTGTTGAGAAGACAGAATCAAATGACAAAACTTTGTTGAATACATTCCAAGCTAGTGCCGTAAATCACTTGCCTGGATCACACCTGAGTCTTTGCCGTCAACCTTTTTCCAGGTGCATTCTTTCCAGTTCATGTGCGAGGAAAGCTGAGGTGATCCTGGAGTTCCACTCTCACCTTTCTCCCCTCGCTGTCCTTTTTGGCCGGCGGGGCCCTGGGCTCCAGGCTCTCCCTTATCTCCTTTCTTTCCTTCTGCGCCAGCTGGTCCCTGGGGCCCAGTCTTTCCCGGGCAACCCTGGTCTCCTTTGGCTCCGTCACGTCCATCACGTCCAGGTGCCCCAGGGGAACCCGGTATGCCATGCATGCCGGGGATGCCATTTGTCCCTGGTTGTCCACCGTAACACATTGAGACCTGTGTTAGAAGAAAGATCAACACCTTGAGTTTTGTGAAGGTGCAAGTGATAATAAAGTGACAAGAAGCGTCTTGATCTAACTCTTCGTCAACCTAGCTGGAAACTACTTCAAAAGCAATTATGTTTAGCAGCGATAACACAATCCATACTATTCTCGTTCTTTAATTTTCTTTCTTTATCTTTTTCTCTTTACTTTAACTCACACAGGAGCTACTCACTTTGTTATTACTTGGTTTGCTGCCAGTGACATTATTGGCGGTCCCAGAAGCCAGGGTTATCAGCACAAAAGTCAGTAGAAACAACATGATCGGCGGGCTCTCTATACGAGGTTCTTTTTGATATCGTTTAGCCTGTAGAGATAAATGTCAGAAAAGTAAAACAAGAGTGGTCATGGTGACACTCACGGTACCTTGTAGAAATCTTTGAGAAACTGAATCACTGTTTT